AAATCAAATCCACAATATTGGCAAATTCTTGTATGAAACTAGAATGCTAATCATTGTGCCATATTAGGTACCAAATCTAAGATCATATAACTATTTACAAAGCTTGACAAAAGATGAAAGTGGGAAACTGTAGCTAAAAGAAGGAAGATCATGTGATACAAGTCACTCAACTGGGGAGGGTATGCTTGTCAAAAAATCAGTGTTCAACATCATCACTTTTTATCTGGACTTGAACACCAACTTTGTGATTTGTGGGAAATACACAACTGTTAATGTTGGTCATTTTTTTTGTTAATTTCTATTTTTGCTTTTTTCATCATGAAATTTTTTAATTAACATAGTTATAACTTATGAAAAAAAACTTGTTTTATTTATAAGATTTTGAGGCAAAAAAGTATTTGTACAGAATATGTCTTTAATCTCAAATGGCTTAAATTACCTTTATTACATAATTCTTAGTAAGATTTTGTGAGATTCTTCCAATTATCTTATTACTGGAACAGTCTAGAACATTCTGCAATTAATTTCTCTCCACACACAAATCATACACAATAATTATCATCATGGGGGAAAGGCAAGGAACTATCAAATTCACAAAAAGAATTGATCATCAAACATTGGTAGGAAGGCAAAAGCTATAGGAGAATAGCAGATATCCTGAATATACCATTTACTACCATTAGTTGCATTATTGTTAACTATGAAAATCAACTAAGGTCATGTTCTCCACGAAAAACTTCACTACTACTGAAGAAACAGGGATGCTTAGTTAAAATTTATTCATGACCATAAGAATAAACCTGAAACATTTTGGGAAAGTGTTTTATGAACAGATGAAGCAAAAATTGAAATATTTGGGTCTAATCCAAGAACTCGCATTTGAAGATGGCACAGCCTTTGCACTGAAAAACAAAATCCTAATGATGAAATTTGGTTACAGCAATATCATGGTTTGTGGAATATTTTTCTGCTAATGGTACAGGTAATTTAGAGATAATAGATGGTAGAATGAATTAAAAAATATATACCAAGATATTTTGGACTCTTTGGGTCAGTATTAAAGCTGGAATGGGTTTTGCAACAAGATAATAACCCTAGATATGCAGCTAAATTTACAAAAAAATGGTTTATTGAAAATAATGTAAATACACTTGAATGGCCATCACAGTCTCCAGACTTGAGTCCAATAGAGAATTTGTGGTGTTTATTAAAAATTCAAGATAATAAAAGAGCTCCGAAAAACATCCTGGACCTAAAGAGAATATGCAAAAAATAATGCAGTAAAATACCAACAGAAACTTGCGAATCATTGACTAAAAGCTACAGAAAGAGACTCTTGTTGAATTTGGTAAGGGATATGCTACAAAGTATTAAATAGGTATTATAATGTTGTACGAATACTTTTTTTCATCTCCAAATTTTTTAATTTTATTAATATACCAAATTTTTCTAAAGTTTTTTTTGCATATTGAATCATTATGCCATGGTATACAAATATTGTATAGATTATAAAATTCTTTTATAAAATCTATGTTGAATAAAAAAAATTTATGGTGTATGAATATTTCTTTCCCCCAAATATATATATATATATATATATATATATTAGTGGACTCCCCTATCATGAACAATAAATGAGGGTCAGAAGTGGATGTTGCCTTTCATTTTATACTTATGTATGCTAGCAGGGGCTATTTTAAGGGAAAGACATACTTCATTTGTGTTTTCCTAAGTGTGATACTAGCCCAACCTTGCTGCAGGCAACAAAGCCACACTGACAGATGAAATTTGTTAAAGCAGGATTTTGATGGTGTCTTTGTTTCTGAGCTTGACGAAGCTGATCACGGTGCTTCAGTCTACTGTCTTCAAAACCCTTTAACTTAAAGAAACGTCTTATGCCACTCCTTTTGGTTTGATGCTTGGGCTCCCTAAGTTTTCAGATCAAATTTGAGACATTTCAAGTTGTCTTTGTAATATAAGAGTGGACGTCTAACTGAAAAGATTATATATATATATATATATATATATATATATATATATATATATAGAGAGAGAGAGATAATGAAAGAAAGTGGAAAAGCTTTTATACAATGCCTTTTAACAATGTAATGTGTTAAATTCAGCTTCTTCAGGCTGGAATGAGAGGCAAAACTGTGTGTAAGGAAAATATGAGGATAATAGGTGCAATAACACACTGAAATGCTAGCAGCTATATCCACCAAACCCCCACTCTTTAATGCAACAAGACAGGTGTTACTGTAAGGTTGGAATCTCTAGAACCAGACTTCCCTCATAGTTTAAAGAGGAGAACAGTTACTGCACTTTGATCCTAACTTAAAGGTCAGGTAAGATTACAGGAGAAACAAAAAGCATTTCAACTCTCACAGTCTTTCTTTCTTTTTATATGCCATGTCCTTTCAGGATGTAGGCGATTATGGCTCTCCACCCCCCTCTATCCCTTGCAGTTCTCAGCAAGTTCCTTCCCTCTGCTTCCTCCCCCAGACCATGTTCTGTCATCTACCTGCTCAAGCTTACCAGGTATATTACGCACTGCTTTTCCTCATCTTTCTTTCCCTCTATTCGATCAGATTCTCCAGGCCCTCCTTCCTCATTATGTGTTCCAAAAACTTTAGCTGCCTCTTTCTGATGTTAAGTAAAAATAAGCTCTTTATCTCTGAAACTTCAGCTTTAATTTTTATGATAATTTTGTTTTTCTTTTAAATTAAATTACTATTATTATTAATAATCTATTCTAGAATATAAAACAATGTGACTTTATATATTTATCAGTCACACAGCCTAATCTCCTTTTAGTAATGAGATTTACTTATAGTAATGTAACAAGCATTTCTGAACACAAGCATGCCTTGTGTTACCATAGTAACAGAACACCTCATTAATAAGTAGGACTGATCAGACTTCCAAGACATTTTTTTTTTCTTTTTGTTCCACTTATTCAGATATTTTTACTTTTAAAAAATAAAAATTCTTTCTAACATGAAATAATAAAATTAATTGTATTGATAAAAACTGAGATCGTTCATATCAAAAAACATAATCAATGCAAATGAAAAAGAGAAAGTACCAGAAATGGCGGGAGGCACAGTGGAGTAATGGATAGCGTCTTGGATTGAGGAATCGGAGAGCAGAGTTCCAATTCCAGTTGAATCCATTACATTCACTTACATGCTAATACCCTTGGTAAAGGTATGACTCCTCTTCTTCTCCCCCCAGCCATAGGTAAATAGCAGGACATACTGTGTTCTGTGGTCTTGGATGGCAACTGGTCTACCGCAGAAAGAAATGGCAACCTACCACAGGAAAAAAATCTGCCTCATCAGTCATGTATCAAAAGATACATGATTGCCTAAGCATGTATCACGTATGGCACATAACTGACTGACTGACCAGAAACGTGATTCTACAGAAGGATGCTAAAAAATACCATCGACAAAACATGTGAGCAATAACAAAGTTTTAGGGAAAATAGAAACAAAAAGGAACTTTATACTTAGCATCAGAAAGAGTTGAATTTTCAAAAGCAAACAATGAAGAAAAAGGGCTTGGAAAATTTGATACCCACAGGGCATATTAAAGGCAGAAGGGTCAGAGCATAACCTACCTAAGGAGCTTGGCAGAATGGAGATCAGAAGAGGTAGCAAGGAGGAAAACTTTACTCAGAACTGAAAAATTGTGGAGTGCCAGTATCGCTCACCTCCTGACGGGACACAGCATGATGAAGAAGAATGGGTTTGTGTAAATGGTTGACATAACAAGAATTAGGAAAGATAGTAAAAAGACAAAATTTACAAAGGACAGGAAATTGGAGAGAGCTATAATCACACACCTCCTGAGACAATGCAATTGCTTAAATATTGTTATCTTTTTTGACAGCACAAACAGCAACCACATCACTTGAGGACTACCAACAGCAATTGAAATACATAGCACATGTAACTTGAAGAGAAAATAATGACATAATCAAGATGTTGACATTCCACACTACTTCAAATAAAAGGTTAGGAAGGAAACTTCCATCAATACTGGAAAGAGTGATAACTACTGGACTCGAGAAACCTGTTTTTCTGAAAAATTGTTTTAAGATTTTATAAATTTCCACTGAAAACAGTACTAGTTGTTCAGTCAGTGAATACCAAATGTTTCCTTGCAGAGAAATGGCTAATATTACCATTACAAATTAATCTATTAATAATAATGTATACTATTTACATTGTTTGAACTGTTGTCTTCATCTTTGTTGCCATATTCACGTTTCGGTCATTGCATACTCCAGCCTTCTTTGGGTGATTGGAATTTCGAACTGAACTCTTTATTTTGTACACTGGGGTACATTGTTATTATTAATAATAACAATATTTGACTAAATACTATTAGAATATTAACGAGTTAGGTGAGGTACAAGTACAATGCTTGGGTAAACATTAATGGATCAGTTATTTCAGATTCACCTAAGATGTAGAGGATAGGTAGGGACCAGTACATTTTTGTGGGGAAACTGGGAGAAATCGATTCATCTATGCTATCAAATGTGGTAATTCAATAGATATGAACTGTAGATGTCCAAATCTGTTGGGGAGAGGGGGCATACACCCCATATAATAGCTGACTGCTCATTTCTGAGTATGACCTGCTCAGGCACATTTCTGCTTATTTAACACCTGCAGAGCACACCTGTGATTTAATACAGATTGGTTTGTTTTTATATTTATTAACATTTTGCAGAAAACATTTTTAGATTGTAAGAATTTTTTGGGGTGATAGTAATGATTTACTGACACAAGCCTGAGCAGTTATCCCTTGCACCACCCACACACACAAGCTTACAGCACATGCATTGCTGGATTTAGGACAAATGATGCCCTGTGTTAGTAAAGTTATGAGGCCCCTTACTTCACAGGAATGGAAAGAAGATGTGGGGGGTAGCTAAATGGGGTCTGTGCTTAAGCACACCTAAGCATAATGGTAAATGCGGCACTGAACACGATATTCTCAAGTGGTCACCCATCAAGGTACCAACCAGGCTTGACATTGCTTAACTTTGGTAATTGTATGAGAACTGGTGTTTCAACATGATATGGCTGCAAACTGATTTATACTGAACTGACATGAGATTCAATATGCTCAAACCCTCAGTCACGATGACTTATGATTTTGTGCTAGCACAACCATAATTTATCTTTCAAACAGTTTTTCCTACTCAATTTCACTCACAAGGCTATGGTCAACCTGTGGTATGGTTTTTCAGCCACATGCTGAGATGGTTTCACCAGGTAGATATCATCAAGAGGTCACCTTCTTGACAAATCAACTATGGTATAATTTGAATTCGAGTTTCATGGTCAGAATACGATGTATACTTCCTAATACAGTAGATATTAATTAACCTTAGCTAATTCAGAAACAGAGATGAGACATTATGTTGTAGCAGTTTTCAAGTGGGGGATCAGCAACCTTGAAAAAAAAAAAAAAATCAGCATTTGAAATCCTGGGTTTAAATTTCTTTTTTAAGTTCATCTCAAATGTCAACCATTGGCATCTATGTGAAATGACTAACTCAGCTACAAAGAGATCTCTACATATTTTAAAGCAGACATTAGAGAAATGTGCCATGGACTTGTTTATGAAGCTTCAGAGTGAATTCTGGACAATTTCTTTACAATTGAAGAAGAGACTTGAGGTATTTTACAGATGGATACTGAGAATACTATGAACAGAACACGTAAGTAACAAGGTTCTAAAGAAAATATTTCATACTTATTTAGAGAAAGAAAGATTTCCAGAACACATAATGAGGAAAGAAGCTGTTCAAGGATGTGTTATCATCCTCTAACCCTGTCATAACTATTTAGACCGTCAGTCTACAGCCATCAATAAAAAATCAATAAAAAGCATGGAATGGAAATAAAGTCTTGACAAGATTTTATTTTTAATAAGAAGACAAACTATGTAAATAGTGTGCTTAAATTAATTGTTGGACTTTGTCCATTTTATAATGTGTGACGTCATTTGTTTACATTTGATATGCCATGAGCAGATATGAATGTACATGAGAGATTCATAGAAGATTGAAGTTCAAATACAGTAAATTTGACCTTGCTAACCGAACATGCTTCTGTGGTCAAATTGGTAAAGGCATGTCAAGCTAAATGATGGTTCCATATAGGATATCAGGGCAAATTTCAGAATTCTCTCTTTGGTATTATTATAAGTTTTTCAAATCGAGATCTCTGACTTAACCAAGATATCAGATAAACTAAGTAATTTTGACAAGGCCATTTTTAATGATTTTCAACTGCTCACATATTAATGAGGATTCTATCCATCACACCCTCATGGTAGCTCCAAATCCAAGGGATGGACTCAGCTTCATGAATGAGCAAAGGACATTAAGGAAAAACTCATAATAATGATAATAATAAACATACAGCCAAGAGGATGTTTTCCCAATCGCTACAATCTTAATCTCTTCAAGTCTAGGTCTGCAGTATTTTCCCCTCCTATCCATACAAACTGCCTCCTAATGTAACCCTCTATCTCAAGTGGCTCCCAGACCTTGTACAGGGTGAACCTTACTATTTAAAAAAAAAGAAAAGAAAAGAAAAACAAACAATCTACATAAGCTTTTCTTTATAAGAGTAGGAGTTATTTTGCAAAATATAAGAGGAGGAGGAACTTATTTTTAAATCTGATTTAGATTTGAGATGAAAAAAAAAAAAAAAAACGTTTTTGGCTTTTAATACACTGACATCACTGGATGAAACAGAGTCAAGCATGAAATGTTTGGAGACTCTGCACTTAAATGAGCTGGTCTTAAAATAACGAACAAATGCAAAAACAAGGTTTTAAATAAATACTGAAGTGTGTGTAAAAGTTCCAATAATAAAAAATAATAAGTGCATATATTTATAATTCATCAACATCTGATGTTCTATAAGTCATGGGTAAACTAGAACCCCATGGACTATATTTATCCCAATTGGCATTCTGAATGGCACGTTTAATTTCATGAGGAAAATAACGTTATTAAAATGTTTGTTTCCTTTTGTGCTCATTTACTCAGTCTCATGAATAGCTGCATACATAAACATAGATTAAGTATAATGTTTCTTGAATTTTGTAACTTTTGTTTAAGATAACATTGTCAGCATTTTAAACCATTCGCAATTTTCACCAAGGAAGATCAGTCAGTTATGTGCCATGCGTGATACACGCTGAGGCAATCATGACTAATGCGGCAGATTTTTTCCCACAGTAGGTTGCAATTTCTTTCTGTGGTAGACCAGTTGCTATTCAAAGATACAGAAGCCAGTCTGTTCTGCTATTTATCCATAGCTGGGGGAGAAGAGAAGAGGATTCATACCTTTTTCCAAGGGTATTAGCACATAAGTTTATGTAATGGATTCAACTGGAATTTGAACTCTGCTCTCCGATTCCTCAATCCAAGCCACTATCCATTACTCCACTATGTAAGTGTAAAACAACTTTTGTTTCAGAAACAGGACATGTTAATGATAATTAGTTTTCTCTAAAGAGTAAATATGCTTCTTTTAAAAAATATTCTTGCATCGTCAAATGAATAAATTAGAATCAAATCATACGCAGCAATGTGTGTTAATTACTGTCATCAGCAAAAAACAAAAAAAACAAAAAAAAAACAAAAAAAGAGATTTTTCTCCATTTCTAAAGCAAATGTTTATGCACATGACCTTTTATTGAGAAAATGGCTGCAGCATCTTTAATGAAAAATTACTTTGTTTTTTTTTATTTGTGCAGCCAGCCTTATGATGAACTGTGCCTCATATGGCCCACAGCTCAATAATGTTCTCCATATGTTCTATAACCATAAACTAACATTTTCAGATTCCATCGTGATGAAACATTTGCAACTTTAGTGTAACAAAGTTGTCAATGAAATTTTGAACATTGAAGACATCTTTAATTATGATAATAAAAAGGAATGCTGTGTTGATTGAAACAAATGGTACCTATATGACACTAGGTCTGGTAAATATGGTACATGAGGATGAAATTCCTCTCCCAACTTCATTATGGCTTTTGGTTGGTTGACAAAGCAACATGTGGAGGAGTGTCATTATGTACCAGTATGGCTTGCTGGTTTCCCTCTCCTGTAAAATAGCCTTTTTTTTCCCTTCAGTTCCAGGACACAAACTTTAATGACTTTAATTATTTACACACAAACTAATGTGTAAATATGATTGTCATTATTATCATAGCATTTTTGGCTGTTGTGCTTGGCAAGTGAATTTCAAACTGAACCCATTATTTGATCTTCAGGTGATACATTGTCCATGTCTATGGATATCCTATTGTTCACTTTATTTCCATTGGGTCTGCACTATCAAGATCAGGGATTGAACTATGTCAAATTCACAAACTAATGCTTTAATCTACTATGCTATTGTCCTGTGGGACAGTCAGGTGTCTAGAACTTGGTGTCTTAAACCTACTCTACCTGCTGTGGACACTGTCAGGCTTGACTGCATTCACTGCAGCTTTTTTCTTTTCTTACTGAGCTTGCTGAGGACTTTATTGCCCTGCAATAACAGTTTCACAAGTCTTCTGCAATTTATAACAAAGTTCACTTATACCAAATATAGAGTGATAGCTTTTTTGTGCTGTGGCTGATGCTGCAGGCTGTTCTGGAATGAGATATTTTTTAACACTGGATTATTGTAATTCCTCTCAAGTGAAAATCTTCCACAAAAGTCTTCATGTCTGGTAAGAAGTGAGAAGCAGATTGCGAGATGTCCAATGCTTCATTCTGACAATCTATTGTCCTACTTTTGTTTTAAATGTTCTCCATAATTTGCAAACATCTTACACCTGTGCAGTGATCAACAAATTTTTCAGACAATTCAAAGATTGGTCAAGTTGTTAGCGAGGTTTATCCGTTTTTTTTTTTTTTTATTTTAAAAATTACCAGAGAATTGTGTCACCTCAAAAATAAATAGAATTAAAAAAAAAAAAAAATCATTATATAACATTCAGCACCGTTAATATTTAAAACATTTTTTTTTGTATATCCAAATAAAAAAGAGTTTCCAATTATCATGTATAGACAGTAAGAAAAACAGAAATGGAAACTTATATATAATTTGAAAAAGATTTAAATTATACACATTATGGATACATTGATGTGGTATAACTGTTAGAAAGCTTGTCTTGCTCTTGCTGAGTAGCAAGTACAATTCTCACTTAGGGCTCCTTAATCTTGGCCTTGCACCACATCAAAGCTGCACTTAGTAAATCACAATATGCACATTATTATTCTACATTATCAAATTTTACATATATAAAATTTGCTATTTTGCATGAGTTTTATTTCAGACTTTCCCTTTTCACAAAAAGACTTTTCTATGGCTTATCAGCCCATTGCAAGTTATTTAAAGCCAGAAAATATTTTTAGATTGTAAGAATATCTATTTTTGAGTAATAATGATTTAGTGATATAAATCTTACTAATTAACCCCTAACTGGGGGAAGAAGATTTGGATTCATACCTTTCCCAAGGGTATTTGCACCTAAATGAATATATAACAAACCCAATGGGAATTGGAACTTGGCTCTCCAATTCACAGTTCTGAGCAATTATCCATTACACTAGCTGAACATCCAAGCTTACAGCAGTTGGTATTCCCAAGTGGTCACCCACCTAAGTACTGACCAGATTCAACATTGCTTAACTTTGGTGATCATATTTAGTTAGGTTATTTTACTGGCACACCAACCCCACAGGTCATTTCCTGCTGAATCAGGTAGTTTTAAGGATTGTATGAGAACCAGTACTTCAACATGATGAGGCTGTAAGCTTTTTCACAAAAAGGGAATCATACAATGGATTAGCAATCTTGTGCCATATGTTGAAGCTCATTTTTCCCAGCCTTCTCTCTGATAAAGATATATTTAAATGAATTTATTTCTACTCCTTTTTGTTGCTGCCAAAATTTCATTACTTTACAATAAATATCTGAACATAAATACAGATATTTCACCGGTTATTAAAAATGTTTCCATAAACACAAAATTCCAATGTTTTTTTTTCATTTTTTTAATTATTTCACTC